GAAATGATATAAATATTAAAAATTAAACTTAAATATTTCAGTGTGCACTTGGTAATTGTATAAAAATTAAAAACTCTTAAATATATTCAAACAGTGTTTGAACCTGGGACAACTGATTGTAAAGAACTTAATCAATAATATTAGTATAAGTCATATAATATGTATCAATAAAACTTTATGTTGCATCGATAATATTGGTTATGATTTTTACCATTTTTCACAAAAGAAATAAATATTGAGTAAGTTCAGAGTGTTGTATTTTTCAAAATATTGATACAGTCAATACTAACATAATGTTTCTATATATATATATATATATATATATAATATCATTTTTTGAATTACATTAATTTAAGACATACTCTAAGATCGTTTGTTTTGTTGTAGCTTTCAACACCACACCAACATATTCAAAAATATTAAATAAATCATACTGACACAACTTTCATTCCACACAACTAACAGGATAAATAGCAATTCCAATTACAATTTTTGAAGTTATTCCAATTTTGTTGATATCATGAAATACAAGCAGCACACTTCCTTTGTTGCACATATATATATATATATATATATATACATATAGAATGTTTTTAGTATGTTACTTTGTCTTTTCTAAGAGTTAAATTTATCTGTTATCTGGTTTGCATGTAAGTCAGGGGAAAAACTCCATGTATCTTTTTATTTTAACTCTAAATCATGTAATGGAACTTCAAAATAAAAATAACACTATAAACACAATCTGTGTGTGACCAGATACAATTTTCAGAACCCATTTATTTTTAAAAAATAAAAAATAAAAAATAAATACTTGTACTTAAACGCTTCCTTGGATTTGTTTCCAAAAATATTACCTATCATTTGTGAAGTGTCTAAGAAAATAAATAAATAAATAAATAAATATCTAAAAATTGGTCTCACTCTTTGTAAACACAAGGAGTATACTTGCCCAGCATTCAAAATGTTTTGCAGTCTTTTTTCAAATACAACATTCATTTTAAAAATCTTAATTGAGAACATGTATTCATGGTAAATAACATATTTCAACTCAATAACTTACACAAAATTTCATTTGTGATATTCATGATTATTTGTTTCACAAATCACAATATAAAAACCCATCCAACATAGTTACTAAATTCGTAAGTAACTCTATTTGCGGAACACACGCATGCATCAAAAAGAACAGCTCACAACTAATTTGCAAAACTTCGAAACATAAAACCTAATTCCGAAAAACATGAAAAATAACCGTTAAACATATTTAAAAATAGTGAAATTACTACAGCAAAGAGCGATTTAGTTATCATAAAAGTTACAGAAATCTCAATATTAGCAAGCCGTAAATACCGAAACATTAACCCCATGTTGCAAAAAACTATCATTCCAAAACCCAGTTGACACTAGTTAACAAAAATGGATGGTGATAAAGCGCTGCCTGCTCAGCAAAGACCCACTTGCAGTGACAACATGTATTGTTTTGCTGAGAAAGCTCTGACTCCTCATGGGCCCACATAAACTCAGTGTGTGACTCAAGCCCCCCCCCCCCCCTTTGTCTCAAGTATAGATTAGCTCTTCTTCATTATGAGCCCTCTCCTCACAGAATTGGATTTCCCAACAAACCCATGCCTTCAAAACCCTACAATCAACTCCCACATAGACCCTTTGGACCCCTAAACCCTAAAACACAAGCCCAGTTTTAGGATTAAGGTTTAGGTTTTGGGGGTGGAATTCACTTGGGCCACTGGGTCCCCACCCAATAGGCCCTCCCTTCTTCTTCTTTTATTCACTCTGTCTGAGGCCACATTGTTCTCTGGGCAAATGCAATGGCAGGAGCATCATGAATTGCCCTAGTTTTGCCAGATGGAGTATATTGAATACTCCTCATGGTCTTGGGAAATATGTATATATATAAGTGTTAATTATTTTTTGCCACATTAAACTTATCAGCTTTGAATTATTCAACCGTCCTTGGCACTAGAAGATAAATAGATAGAGTGAGTGAGACTTCACAAGGATTGGAATCCATTTCACTTGTGTGCCACTCACTTGACAGAGATGGAATAGGCCATGGCATGTTTCGCATGGAATAGGGCAGCTTGGAAGTCAGAAAGTCTCAGTCCACGTCAGTGCCATATCAGCGTAGCTGAACATGTCTCGTGATTGGGTTCTGCGTTGGATGGAAAGCTGACCTGGAGTGGGATTCGATTTGACTCAAGGTTGGATGACGACCTACCGGAAAAATATATTGTTTGGAACGAGTTGTAAGAGAGGACAGAGGAATTTATCATCCATAGGGTGTCATAGGGCTCAGCGGTGTGAACACGTCCTTCGCCTAGGCTCAGATTCTTTGTTCTCCACCGCAGACATCCTTGGCTTTCTTAAAAAACTAATTCTTAATGTTCCACACTTTTTAAAAGTTTATTTCCCATCCCTTTTTTGTACTTATTTTTTTATATTGGGGTCGAAGAGAGCTTATTTAGTGTTTCAACTGTCTTTTTTGGCTTGTACTTTATGATTGGCCCCACTAATGCAAGGGGCCTTCATTGAGAGAATATTCCCCTCTGCACAATCCAATACCACTGCATCCCCCCGTAAAAAGTGGCTCCTCAAGACTGTTGGCAGTAACTCATCATTGACGGATCTATATATATATATATATATATGTGTGTGTGTGTGTGTGTGTGTTGTTGTTGTTGATTTTGATTTTTTTGATTTTTTTTTTTACTTTTTCTTCATAACACTGTAAAGGATTGCAAAGTAAGGGTTTCAGCTTGATGCAGACTTGGTATGGCATTGGAAGCATGCATCTTGTATCATGACCTCAACAGAATATATGTACAGTCCTCCTCCCTTCCCTTTTTTCCCTTGTTTTATTTGGTTCTCACTTTTTTTGGTTTTGTTTTTTTGTTTATTTTTTCTCAATTTGCAAAGGACATGAATTTAACCATATCATGGCCTTTGGAATGTTGGACAGGGAATATTCTTGTCACTCCATGTTCACTCATTCTTCCACATTCAAGTTGGTTAACAAGGATGAATGTCAAATTACTTACACATAGACATGATTACCGGAAGAAGAGGACTTACCACTTCATTGTTATGAACATTATAGTTCATAAAAATAATATTCTAAACATTGAACATTGGAAATCATTGATTTTGTTGTGTGTATATGTGAGTGTGTGAGAATATACCTTTTAACACAAACACAGATATCAATAAAAGGTAAGCTTATTTCCCATACGAACTAACCAAGTTTTTAAATTTGATATGTAGAATTGTATCCCCTCTTACTTCGTTTTATTTTACTTTTATTTAGTTTCTCTCACTCGTTGGAGGAACGTACACACACGTGCCGTGAACAAAACCGGGATGTAATTCGTATTTGTATACAAGGGGGTACATCGTACAGAGAGGTGGGGTGGTACGTGTCCGAATCGCATACGCAAGCACAGAGGTGGAAACAGGGGCTTAGGATGCAAAATCGCGGGCGCCGCTCTGAAACCCTCGAAATTAAGAACAAAACGTCTCTCTGCCCGGGAGGAGAGGGCAGGAGGAGGAGGAGGGGGCCAAGCCTGACCGAGGCCGTCGAAAAATCACGGGAAACAAGGCCAACTGTTTCCCCCCGCGTTTTACCCGGAGGGGTAGAGGCCTGCGGGTCCAGCGTCGTCTGTTCCATAATCCCCAGACCAACGAACAGAACACATCATCATCCACTCACCCTCGTCAGTACAGCAGCAGCGATCATTCGTTCATCCAGAAAGGTCCTGCCGAGGCTTGCCTTGCTTTTGAGGAACCAAGAGCGGTTTCGGGTCACCCCATCCAGTGGTGGTGATAATAGAGACGTGTGTGGGTCTCAGCTGCCTTGATGGTGATATGATGCTTGCTGAAGCCCCACTTGTTGAGTGACGAGAAACAACCACGACAACCATGGTGGCAGAAGAAGAGACTGCAACAGAAACAAAACAGATATACTCTCTCTCTCTCTCACCTTATCCCCCACTCACCTCAACACATTCTCACGCACTCGGAACAAATTTTACCCTACCGCAGCATGAACATAACTCCCTTGAAAAACAACACTTAAACATCATCAACTCTCTTCCAGAGTTTGGTTTGGATTGGTTTGGTGGAGTATTGACTAAAACGGGCGGATGTTTCCCTTGTAGTAGCCAGAGGAGGGTCAAGGGAATGAATGTAGGTGATTACTTAGTGTTCAACGATTGGCAGCAAGATCCCCGCGACTCATAGACCCCTCGATTAAATCCCAGCTGGCAGTCCGAGTGGCAGCCACCCGTTGATCCATCCCCTGCAGCAGCCCAGCCCGGGCCTTGTTCCTAGATACCACAAACATCGCAAACCAGGTGCAGCATGGACGTCGACACATGTTTCGTCGGAAGTGATTCGAAAATGTCTCCAGCGCGTACCCTCGGCGCGTGGGAACATGAGGAAGCACATGAAGACGAAGGAGAAGAAGACGCAGTAGCAGGGCTAGAGTTTCTATGGCACCCTTGCACCACCAGCACCAGCACTACCACCCCCACCGCTCCATTGTGCCACCACGTTGCGTCACGCCAATCCCCTTCGCTCAGTTGCCACGCTTGCTGTGATGTTCGGAGCCCGAGGAGGTCGGGTATCATTAGGGCCTTTTTTCCCTCATAACCTCCTTCCGTTTTGTGCCTTTCGCTTTGGCGCCGGTTCCTCGAAATCTTGTGTAGAGGCGAGATTGTTCGCGAGGTTCCGCTCGAGTGCTCTCCTTTTTCCTGCTTTATTTATTTATCTATTTTATTTGTTTGATGCTTTTGGTTTATTATTATTATTATCATTGTGTTTCAGCCCCTTGGGTGTGGTATTGACACGGCCGTGTTAAACCTTGAGATGAGAGATTTGGGCGAATATTTGGACGGGGGTGGCGGAGTCTTAGACGCGGTCTGAGAGTAGTAGTGGTCGTGGTGCTTGAGTTTCTGCGTATGTTTTCGAGGGTGAGATAGGTGATTCTGTGCCGTTCCGTGTGCCTTCTTCATATTTTATTTTTATTTTTAATTGTTTTTAATTTGAGTTTATTTCGTGAATGTGTGTGTGTGCGCGCGCGAGTGGGGTAAACTGTGAGGTTTAGGATGTCTTGGGGTGTCACGCGATCGTGAACATGTGAGGGTAAGGTGTGCGAAGTTAATATTTTTAGTCTGTGCCTGTTTCCTGTTGCGCATAATTACGAGCAATTTTTTTGTGTTGTGCTTTGGATACGGTTAGCACTGCTGGTTGCTGCTTTATTTTCGGTGGCCTTCCGGAGCAGGTCGAAGTTGGCCTCTCGAGCCATAATTCTGGAGTTTCTGACTGCAAGAGCCAACGTGAAGAAGAGTTATCCTGTAGTGTCTTTGCGAGTAGAATCGCTGCCGGAAGGGAAATAGATTCCTTTGGCACTGCCAAGCACATTTCCGCAGCCTCTAGCTTGCAGTCCCTGCCCAGATTTTAGAACGTAGTCGTCAACAGCGATTACACTCAAACAGTTCGTCTGGCGTTCCATCACCTTAGTTATCAGAAGGGATTTGAAAGTGATATTCTCACGCTGCTGTGATATATTGCCTCATCAGTCGAGTTTGAGCATCCGTTCTGCTTCAGTTTAGAAGTTGAATCTGAGAATTTAGTTGGACAAGGCGGAATTACCAAGGGCTCAGTGCTGGAAGTACGAGTTTCTGTTAGAGAAATTCTCTCGTGTTAGGTTCTTACCTCACTGGTGCTTTTAGTGTTCCAGGGTGTCGAAACGATGCTTTTCGTCGACCTGGGCCGCCAGGTTTAGTGTCTGCTGCATGAGTGCATATTATCAGAAAGTGACGCTGGCTCTGGTCATCGCCAACCACCGTTGTACGGTATCAACTATGCTCGTTCGTACCTTTTGGATGATTTTCAGACTCTCGCGAAGGGTAGCTCCGTGTGAATGTCGCGTATGCTAATTGCGGTTTCTGATGGCACTTATTGTTGGCAAACGTGTGACGTTGTCGTCTAAATCATATCTTCTATTACTGTGGAGTAGATTCACGTGGTACATGACACGTAACCTCAACTGATTGTTGGAAGGAGATGCAGTTTGTAAATGTCAGTAGTAGGGAGTAAGAGTTCTTCAGTTTTCGCACAGTTTTATGATTTAGTTGCATCTCAGCTTACATGCATTGCCATTGTTAGATCCTTTAGAGAGGCCATTTGGTGCTTTTTCATGTACGCGTGAAGTATCTCGTTCAGCAAGATGCACTTGTGACCAATTATATATGTATATATCCACTGTCATTTGCATCTAAGGTTCTGCTTTTAGATGAGTCGCACTGCTATGTTAACCTTGTCGAATCTGGTGTCTGTTAGTCTTCAGTGACTTATCTACTGGGATGGGTTGCTTCGCACAAACTAGTTAGATCTTGATTTTGCTGGAAACTTTGTAAACTGGTTCTTATCGTGTGTGTGTGTGTGTACAGGTTGCTCGTGCTTGTTACTTCTGTAGTTTCTAAACTGAATTTTAGTGGATAGTTACTGTGTTGGCGGCGTTGATAGTGATTGCTGATAAAGCGCAGACCAGGATAGGGCATGCTAATCATGCCGTTTACACCAAGGAACAGAGAATTGAGGGTCTGCGATTGTATGTGTGGAGTGTACACTGGAATGATGAATGTGAGCGTTTACCTTCAGCAAGCGGCTTAGTGTATACGTAGTTCAATTAGAAAAGTTTCAGAAGGTCTGTCATATCACTTTGAAGTTGATAAGATGTGGGTTCCTGTGTGTGTCAAAAGCATTGATGCTTTTGGCGTACCAGGAGAGGAAAAATTCTACTTGAGCTCCGTGATGATTTTGGTGCATGCTATTCTCGCCATTATTGATCTTCTCATCGTCATCGTTGCTGGAATTCAGGTGGGTTGTTGGTTGAAAACTGGTTCACTTAATTTAGAGCGAGAGAGTGAGAAAGAGTTTAGGGGTTTGTTTGCTGCATGCTTAAGAGCACGCATTTAATATGTTTATATTATTGTCTGCGTTGAGGCTGTGAAATGTTCACAGTACTTTCAATTAATAATAATAATAATAACAATAATAATATTTTCTTCATAAATGATATCTTATTTTATTCTAATTTTATTCTTTTGTTGTTCTTCTGTGGTGTGTAGTTGTTGAGGCACCACTTGCACAACAAGCGAATCGGTTGGACACGTCAAAAAGTAAGACCTTGAGAGTTGAATGGTTTAAATAAATTCATTTAAAAACATCAAATCTGATTTTTGTGTTCAATTTTTTGTGTGTGTTTTTATTTTTATTTTTAATTTATATTATTATTGTACTCAATTCGATGTGTTGCTTCAATATTATCTATTTTTGACATCGAAATATCATCCCGCGCAGGTTTTTCACTGCCTAATTGGTGCTGCAAACTTTGGTACGTCTTGCTACGTCAAGCTTTGAGTCGATAAAATTGACGTCCCTTCATCCGTACCTAGCTCTGTCAGAATGCGAATATGATAGTTCCTTACTTTTCACTTAGTTTTTCAACCTGCTTGATTAATCGGCCAGAGATGCATACTCTCAATGTTATCCACCATGTATTTGCAGAGGATTGGAGGGGTATGGTTTTTATGCTTTTTGGTTGTCGAGGAAGATTTGCTAATGAGAAAACTAATCAGTTTTCATTTTGTACTCTTGGGAAACAGGCTACTTCTTGTATTTCATCCTGACTATAGTGGCAACATGTCAAGGATGGACATGTTTTTCATCTGCTTGCGGATTCATTTTGATTGGTAGGTGTCTTTCCTTCTGAGTTGGGCTCTACATTGCGATATATGTCTCAAGTTTTATTCGTTCCTTTTCTAATGTCTTCAACATGCCAGAAGAATCATAGATAATATTGACATGTCGCGTCAGAATAGTACAAATAGCATCAACGGCTCTAAGTACCGGAGCCTGACGCCAATTTTCTGGTATTTTCTGTTATAAATGTAGCGTCTTGCCTATGAAATGTTTTGTGTTTGGTTTTATTTTTTTGCAGCCGCACCTCAAACATTATTCTTGGCCACCTTCCTGCTGCTTCTTTCTTTCTGGTAAGTGCCTAACTATGTGTTTAGGGGTATTGATTGCATTCGGATGGTACATCTTAGTTACTGAACAGAGTTTTGTTTAAGCAGATATATTACGTAGGGAATAAGTTCGGTTTAGATTCGTAGGATGTTGTTCTTCTGTGTTCCAAACATACTCTTATTGTTTGCAGGGTGGATTTATGTAATCCCGCTAATGACAATGACGAAGAAGATGATGAAGACATAGATTCTGAGTACGCTCAATTACCTTCATCTCCAAATAGCGTAGAGTCGGGTTCAAGTAAGCCGTATCGGACATGTTTACCCTTTCGACGCTGGCGTGTTCGAGGACGGCAACGATGTGTACTTATGGTAAGTATTTGAATTTGACAACAAAAGCAAAGAGGAATATCTTTATTTCCAAATGCTAATTGTATATGACGATTGTTATGGTGCTTTTGAGTGCGTATTACGATACCAGTATCTGAAGTGGAGGCCCTGACATCGCTGCAGGTGGTTTTGCTTATCTTTTCGTTGACGGTGGCTTTTGCTGCGTTGATTTGGTACGGAATGTATGACAATCCGATAGATTCAGTGAAACTAGCGCAGGTGAGTTCTTTTCTTCATGTTCACTCTAGTCGTTGCGGGATTCAACTTGGAAGAAAATCAGTTTTCTGAATTGTCTTTAAGGATTTTTGTTCATGGAAATATAAATTCTTGCGTTGGAACACGTCTTTCGCTCCAGCTGAGTTTGGAAAATCTCACGAATTAATTTAAAGCTTCCCATGTCGTCATTGAGAGTCTAACATGAGATATTTTTCAACTCTAGTCTTGGATTCAACCCAATTTTAAGTGAAGGCTTACGGAATGTCTGCATCGTTTCTTTTTTTGTAGGTGTACGCCAACTTCTTTGCCCTGGTCATTTTGCTCTCAGGAGGGGGTCTGGCAGGATATGGTGAGTCCTCTTTCACGAACATGGGAGATTTGTTGTTTGGATGCCAATGAAAGAATGAGTTCTTTAATTTAGCATGTGTACAATGACATTGAATTTTCGTCTGTCGTTAATATTAGAAAGTAACAGTTGTGTGGGCGTTATGATCTGTTCAGGGTTGCTGCTGTACACCAAGATGAGCAGAGTAAAGTCAAGTAGAGCTTCAGCAGACATAAAAAAGGTGAGCACTTAACTTAATACGAACGGGTATCTTATGCTTTCGAAACACGCGACTCAGAAATTGAACGTATATACCTTTTGATTCAGAAATGGTTGTAACATTTTCTGAGCTAGTAGAAAGCATCTCACTGTATTTCATTGGCTTCCAGGTTACGGGTTTGGCAGTTGCATCGTTTGTGTGTTTTTCTCTTCAGGCCATTTTGGTTATTATTAGTGATGTTACCGTAAGTGAATCTTCCTGCCCCTGTCATGGGAAATATGTTTATGCCTTGTTTTTTTTTGTTTTTTTTTTGTTTTTTGTTAACAATTTAAAATTTATATGTTCTGATATTTATTTTACTTATCCACATTCAGTTAATAACACTTATGTTGATTGTGTTGCAGGGTCTGAACATTTGGCATATGAAGCATGGTGACAGCCAGTTCTGCGCACTTATGATTTTCTTTTATTATTTTATAGGTATGGTAACTTTTGGAAAGATTCAGCATCTCTTAGTATTACTGTGTCTTGCATTTTTTCAGCTTCTGTGAATCTGCACTGGGGAGGTTTCAGACTGTTGTTTGTTTGCGTGATCACCATCATTCAATGGTTTAATGTGTATAAAGATCTACATAAGTGCATATGTGTACTAAATTGCACATGGATAGTTTGATGTGATGATTTCTGCACTCAAGGGTTTTATTTGTCGCCTTGACAGGGGAATCCGTGCCCTCCATCGTAGTGCTGTGGGTGATGAGAGATCTGCCTCCGAGATCTTGTGACAACAGCATGCATGGTCGTGTTGCATCTGAACCAGTTTTGATTGAAGATGCTCTAGTTCCGGATCCCAATTATTTGTCACAATTAGTGATCTCGGCAGCTGGCCGAAGATATTTTCTGCCAAACTGCTGCAACAGTGATGTTTCTCCTTCTTGAACTAAGGTATCGTTCTGTCCTAGCGTCATATACAGTGAGCTACAAGTTCGGCCGTTGGAAGTGCTCGCATAGCTTTTTCTGCAATTCTGTACAGTGTATGTAGTGACTATGACTTACAAATTACTGTTCCGACGCACGTTCTTATATGGCAGGCTGCAAACTTGAATTGCAGGTTCTGAATCACCGTGTACTCTCTACAGTCGTATTACGAATACGAATTCAGTAAATCACGAAAAAGCAAGCATTGCTGTGCCGAAACTCCCCAGATCATGGTTGCAATTGCTCCAGATTATTGAACGAAAGACTTGCACCCGGCTAACTCTTGAAAAACTCGAAGCTGGCAGAATCTCAAGGAACGGAAAATCCTGTACAGCGTCACCGATTTCATATAACTTGAAACTCACTTTTCCAATTGTCAGATTGGAAGATTCGGATGTCTGTGCTATGTGTGGACTTCACAAGAATTTGGGGATATGAGACCTGTCACTAGCATTGCTGCTTAAGTTGACCTGAAGACTGGTTGGGATTCAGGATGGAATGGACTACTTCTACACCCACGAATCTCCTTCTCTCTTCCTGCCCGAGTTTTTTGTTTGAAGCTGTAAGTCAGGTACCTCCTACGTCTGCACTACTGAAGAAGTTATTGTGCAAGAGAATGCGACCCCATATTCGCGGGCTTGGAAAAATATGGGACCTTGTTCACTAGATTTGTTATCAACCACGAATGCTGGTGGTGTGATTGTACATAACACTTAGAAACATTTAGCAGGTACTGATGTAGTTATAATTGGTATCTTTGCACTACGGAGTTATGGCTTTAAATTCATTGTGATCTTTAAGCATCGTACTTGTGTGCTTGTGTGCTAAGTAGAGTTAGTCAGTATAAGATCTGTTTGTACTGATATTTTTCCTGATAGTAGATGCACTTGCTGTGATGCCCTTCGTACCAATATCAGAGGTCACCACGCTTACTCTCTTGTCAGACCCAGGGAACCAGACGTTATTTGCTTGAGTGACCCAGCGTATCATTATGTTGAAAGTATTATTTTGTGCGTCGAAGGGGGAGAAGAATTAGTCATTACTTCTGTCAGGCCATTATATTTTAAGTATCCTAACGTCACAATAGAAACGTTCTAATGTTGTAATCGTATACAATATTGATGTCTTATTATTTATAGCTGGTCATTTGACCTTGCAGGTATTTGCCAGTAGTGAATGTTAGAAATCAATTTAAGGGTGACGAGAACATCAAACTCAGTGTACAAATTTCTCTACAGTATGAGCAAAGTTGAGTGTAACAAGGCGGGCACATAAAGTTGGAGATAAGACACAAACTAACCGTAGTCTTCTCCTATTAATGTATCCTAACCAGTGGCAGAAGAATGTTTGTAAAAAATAAATTCATGACTTATCCAACAACTTAAGAAAATTTTGGACCATGTATCAATTAATTAACTAATTTTTGTTTTTTGGAAAAATGAAGGGAATGAATAATGATCAAACCTTCAATACTTATGTGAGGCAAGTTATTGGGAATTCAGAAAAGTATTTATTTTAATGGGAAAATATCATATGTATCCCTCAAATATGCTAAAAGATGCTAAAATATCAAATATGCTAAAATATCAGGAATATCCTTGTATTCTTGATAATAGTAAATCTACCCATGATAAAGTATCACCACTTCTTTTTTAGGTGCATTTGGGGCCCAAATTATGTGCCATATAAATTTTGGTGCAACCCTTATTAGCACTTTTTGGCATATTTTGCCTACTTTTTTTTCTATCAATGTTTGAGTGTCGCACAAATTTGTAGGAATGTATTAAAATTTGCAATTGGATGAGTGTGAGCGACAATGAATAGAAAAGAGTTAAGTCTTGTGGAGAAGCTTCCTAGAAGTGTCATAGATGTACTTTCACTTTTATATATGTCTACAATATATTGATATGTTAGAGACTTGGCCAACAAATTAGTCACATGTCATTTATTGATAGCTTGTGGTGCAAGCTAATGATGTGGCACACATATAAGAAACTTACCTTGCAAGTTAAGGCATGAATTTTGCAAATTGGACACGTATTGGAGGTCTACAATGTTGCCACATAGTTTTTAGGTAACTAGCATATGGAGAGGTAAGAATGAAGCCTTCTTCACTTATGTCAACTTCTTTCTTGTTTCTAGTCTAATTTCAAGAGTCTTTAGTTTTCCAGCCTTTAGCAATAGCCATTCCACTTTCTTATTAAATATATTTACTTTCTTATTTCTACTTTGTCATCTCTCTTTAATTCATTTCTCCCTTGTTTACTTATCTTCTTGGAGTTCTTGCCTTTGATAGATATGCATTAGTAAAGAAGCAGAACTTTGTGCAACCTTCTATCATAACATATGCGAAGAACAAAGGCATAAACTTTGTGTGTATGGATTTTCACAAATCTTTGGAAGAGCAAGGGCCTTTCAATCTAATTAGAAGCATAAAAAAAAAGAAAATTATTTTAAAATCAAAGTTTTAAAAATAATTAAAAAAAAGATTAGAAGGTCTATATAAGAATTTATTTTAATTTTTATAATATTAATGGTTTTTTTTATAGTTTAATAAATATTACAAGCATTAACAAGTTCATTATTTCAATTAGAATATAAGTTTTATTTGATATGAATTATAAAAAAATATATATCTATTTATTGAAAAATTAAACTTAATATATATATATATATATATATATATATATATATATATATATTTTAAAGTACCAATGTCACGAATATATATATTTACTCTAATATTTACCTATATGATTAAGTAGAAGTAGATAAAAGTAAATTTATTTCATAATATTTCTTAGAAAAGCTTCCTAGAAGCTTCATAGATATTGTTTTGACTTTATATGTGTTTGTAGTTGATTAGTAGGTTAAAAACTTGGTCAACAAGTTAACCATGGATTTGTAGCTTATAAAACAACCTATCTATGTGGCATATATACAAAAAAATTCCTTGCAAGTTAAGATATGTGTCTTATAAAACATTTTGAAGGTCTTATAGGACATTGCCACGTATCTCCTAGTTAAGAGTATATGTAGAGGCAAGAGTGAAGCCTTCTTCATTCTTGTGAATGTCTTTTTAGTTTCTAGTCTTGTTTCAAAGCTTTCTAGTCTTCTTGTCTTTGGCAATAATTATTCTAATTTAATATCATATCATCTTTGAGTGAATTTTTAGTTCTTTTAAGTGACATAAGAGTGTATTAACATTTTTTTTTTTTTTTTTTTTTTTTTTTTTGAGATTCATGTCCTTAACAGTTTGACAAGAGTGCTAACTTATTATTTTTGTCTTGTTTTTAGAAGTGGGTGGATTATCACACTTTTATTGTTGTATTTTGAAGGTTGCAAACTATACACCTTTAAACAAATAATCCATTTTTTTAACATTAATTTTTTCCTTAAAGAGAGTAGATTATCTTTTTTTGTGGAAATTTTCATTTCATATTAGAGTTTGCACATTATCCTCTTCTAATTTTAATTTTTGAATTTATTTGAATTTTCTATAAAAAAAAAGATTATGAATGCTATTCTTAGCAAAAGTGAGAATAGATTTGCAACTATTATAGATCTTCATAAGCTTGTCAACACTCTAAGAGTAGAAATCTCATATATTTTCAACATAATTCATGGAGGTACTATTCCTATGCTTATAGAAGAAGTTTAGAGTCTGCGTCAAAAGATTGTGCGTTTAAAGGAAGCAAGTAGATCAACTTGACAACCAAATCTAAGAAGTTTTGCTTATAAAAATATGATGGAGACAAATATTAGTATGCCTGAGAAGTTTGATGGAATAAGATCAAAATTTTGAAGATTAATGTAATAAGTCAAGTATTATCTAAGGTTGCATCCTTTCTAATACCTCGATGGATTTACTCAAGTCGGATTCATAGACATACTTCTATTAAGATCTATTAAAGGTCATATTTTCTCTTCAGACCTCTCACCTTATTTTACAATAGAAGTTTATTTAGGATCAAAAAATCACAAAGTCTTTTTGTGAGTTTCTTGTTGATTTTTTTATCTATTACTTGGATGACATCTTAATCTATTCTAAGAATATAGAAGAATATGAAGTTCATATTTGTTATATGTTATAAAAACTTAGAAATGTAAGATTATATGCCAAGTTAGAAAAGTATGTATTCTATACTATTCAAGTTGGCTTCCTTAGATACATCATTTCCAATGAAGGACTAATGATGGATTTGAAGAAATTTCAAAATATCATAAATTGAAAGATTCCAAGAATAGTAAAAGATGTGAAATCCTTTTTGGGCTTTGCCAATTACTATCAAATCTTCATCAAGAATTTTTCTCAAGTTGTACATCCACTTATACATTTGACTTGTAAAGACAAACTTGAGTGGAGTAAAGAAGCCAAAGCATTGTTTGATGCTTTAAAAAAAGAATTTACTTTTACACCAAACTTATATCATGTTGACTTCTTCAAGGCATTTTTCATAGAAATAGATGCATTAGACTTTGCCTTGAATGTAGTATTGTCATAAATGAGAGAATATGAAAAACTCCATCTACTAGCTTTCCATTCCAAAAAGTTTTCAGCAACTAAGATTAATTATGAGATTTACAACAAAAAACTCATTATAGTTGTGGATTCATTTCAAGAATGGCGTCAATATCTAAAAGGCACATCGAGTACAGTCACCATATATACAAATTACAAGAAGCTTGAGGACTTCATGTTGGTTTATGTTTTGAATCATTGCTAAGTTTGTTGGAATATATCTTTATTAAAATTTGATTTTAAGATTGCTTATTAACTCAAAAAATAAGAAGTTTTGTTTCACATCCTTTTTAGATGTTTTTATCTTGTACCAAAAGAAAGAGATGTATCTTTTGATTAATAAAAAATGATTTTTTTGAAGTTGGATTATTTTCACCTTTAAGCAATAAAATCAATGTTGACTATTGATTCAATCTTTGTCAAGAAAATTCAATCAAGTATGTCCTCTAATCCTCTAATCCATGATATCAAGAATAATTCTTCTAAATCTCATGATACTTCCAATTTTGAGTTCAAAAATAACCTACCCTTCTTTAAAAGACAATTATATATTCCAAAAGGTAGGACAAAATTCTATGTTTTTCAAGCTTGTCATGACTTTTTAACAACCCAATATTTTAGATACAATAAGACTTTAGAGCTAAAATCAAGATATTTTTGGTGGCTTCAAATGTGGAAGGTACTCAAAGATTTTGTACAATCATGTGATATTTGTTCAAGATCCAAAACTCCTTGCCATTAACGTTATGAACTTCTTTAGCCATTATCTATTCTTGAACAACCATGGTCTTTTATTTCTATAGATTTTATTATGGATCTTTCAATCTCAGGTTTGTATGATTTTATATTTTTAATAGTAGGTCGTTTTATCAAGATGGTATATTTTGTATCATGTGTAAAATCTATTATAGGTGAAGAAATGATTAAGCTTTTTCTTGATAATATCTATTGTTATCATGGATTACCTAAAGATATTATATCAAATACAAAAATTTAATTTATATTAAGATTTTGGAGAATTCTTTTTAAGATTTTAAAGGTAGACATAAAAATCTCTTTGGCTTTTAATCCTCAAAGTAATAGACAAACAAAATGGATGAATAAAATTTTAGAGCAGTATTTGAGGTATATCATCAATTATCATTAAGATCATTGAATAACTCTTTTGTCATTGATAAAATTTGTGTACAATAATTTAGTACATTCTTCTATTCAATAAATAACTTTCTTTACCAATTATGGCTATTATCCATAATTTCATACTTTTGACTTTATAAAAGTTGATAATCATGTGGCAAAAGATTTGACAAATTATTTTTCAAAGTTATAGGCAACAATGAAGACACAATTAAAAAGAACTCAAGAATGACAAAAGATCAATGCGGATGCCTATTTCAAGAAACAACTATAATTCAACATAAGT